GTGGTTTTTATTCATTTATTTCTTTAAAAAACATTTTGCAATTATGATTTATTTTTGTACAGCTGGCAAACATACAGCAAAATGGCTGTATCTTGAGCCGCCCAAAGTCTTTTCGAGGTGATGGGTGCGGGACATAAATAAAGTTTATTATGTATTGTCGAAGGCTTTCATGGCCGGAATTACTGGGTTGTTGTAGGTTTTTTCGGGCTATATGGCCATGTTCTAGAGGCATTCTTTCCTGACGTTTCGCCTGGATCTGTGGCAAGCATCCTCAGAGGTAGTGAGGTCTATTGGAGCTAGGAAAAAGGGTTTATATATCTGTGGAATGACCAGGGTGGGACAAAGGACTCTTGTCTGCTGGAGCTGGGTGTGAATGTTTCAACTGACCACCTTGATTAGCATATAATGGCCTGACAGTGCCTGGAGCAAACTTTTGTTGAGAGGTGATTAGATGTCCTTGTTTGTTTCCTCTCTGTTGTTGTGCTGTTGTAATTTTAGAGTTTTTTAATACTGGTAGCTCACTACCTCTGAGGATGCTTGTCCCACCCTGGTCATTCCACAGATATATATACCCTTTTTCCTAGTTCCAACAGACCTCACTACCTCTGAGGATGCTTGCCATAGATTGAGCTGATGTTCAATCAGGTTGTGAAGTTAAAATTCATGTATGAACTGAGAGGAAGTCTAATAATTCTGATCATCATTTCTGTCTCACTTCTCTTCCTGTCCCCAGAGTAGTATGAATGGAATTGAGTATACTGGCATAGATCAGGGGTCCACAAACTTTTTAAACAGAGGGCCAGGTCACAGTCCCTCAAACTGTTGGAGGGCCGGATTATAATTTGAAAAACAAAACATGAATGAATATATAATAATTAAAACAAATATAAACTTATTAGTATTTCAATGGGAAGTGTGGGCCTGCTTTTGGCTGATGAGATAGGATTGTTGTTGTTGTGTGCTTTCAAGTTGTTTCAGACTTAGGTTGACCCTGAGCGAGGGCCGGGTAAATGACCTTGGAGGGCTGTATCCGGCCCCCGGGCCTTAGTTTGAGGACCCCTGGCATAGAGAAAGCTCACTTGAATAGAAGACACTTTAGTTGAAAAAGAGAGAGTTTTGTTGCAGAATCGTTTCACTCTTTAAAATAAATAACAGCATCCTAGATTTGGAAGGGTAATATTGGCACTCTTGAATATTAATATTAATATTAAAGCACTCTTGAAAATACTCACCCAACCCTTGCTTAAAGATCTCTGAAGAAGGAGAGCCACCATCTTCAAAAGCAAACCATGCCATTCACTGATGAACAGCTCAATAAGTTCTTCCTTATGTTTAGATGAAATCTCTTTTCTAATAATAATAATAATAATAATAATAATAATAATAATAATAATAATAATAATTTATTTGTCATGTCAGGGCAACCAGTCAATTGTATTACATTTCTAACAGAACAAAACAAACAAACAGACAAAGCAGCAGAGTAGCCAATAGCAAGGGCAGATGTCTTCACTGTGTCTGGTTGTGATCCCCAGGTTGTGCCAGTCAGCTTTCGTGTGATATTGTTTCTAGCACCCACTTTTTGCTTGATGTTCAGGCAGTGCTTCTTGTAGGTCAGAGCACGGTCCAGAGTGACTCCCAGGTATTTGGGTGCGCTGCAATGCTCCAGTGGGATTCCTTCCCAGGTGATCCTCAGAGCTCGGGATGCTTGTCTGTTCTTGAGATGAAAAGCACATGTCTGTGTTTTAGATGGGTTGGGATCAGCTGGTTTTCCCTGTAATAGGCAGTAAGAGCACCTAGAGCTTTGGAGAGCTTCTGTTCAACCATCTCAAAGCTCCCTGCTTGAGCAGTAATGGCACGATCATCAGCATAGATGAAACTCTCTGTCCCTTCTGGCAGTGGCTGGTCATTTGTGTAAATGTTGAACATGGATGGAGCAAGCACGCTCCCCTGAGGCAGGCCGTTCTTCTGTTTCCACCATCTGCTTCTCTGGCCCTGGAACTCAACAAAAAAGCTCCTGTTTTGTAGCAGGTTTCCTATGAGGCGGGTGAGGTGGTAGTCCTTTGTGATAGTGTACATTTTTCTCAGGAGGAGGCGGTGGTTCACAGTATCATAGGCTGCTGACAGGTCTATGAAGACAGCTCCTGTGATCTGCTGCCTTTCAAAGCCATCTTCTATGTACTGAGTCAGGTTCAACACTTGCGATGTGCAGCTTTTGCCATGGGTCTATTTTTTTCGGTAATTCTATGCAAAATAAGTCTCTCTAGAACTTTGTAGAGGTGGCACAACAGGGAGATTGGTCTGTAGCTTTTGGGGCCATTACGGTCTTTGCCTGGCTTCAAGATGGCAATGACTCTTGCTTTCCTCCAGATTTTGGGGATCTGACAGGATGCAGTGCAGTTGTTCATCAGCTCCAGCAGCCAACGCCTTGCTTTTGGGCCGAAGTTCTTGATTTGTTCCATCCGTAGATCATCCAGGCCAGCTGCTTTGCCATTTTTACATTTAAATAAACAACAACAACAACAACAACTTTATTCTTGTATCCCACCACCATCTTCCCAAAGAGACTCGGGGTGAGTTACACAAGGCACAAGGTGCCTAAAAACAGAACATAAATTGAAAACAATTTAAAAATACAATTAAATAAAACATATAAGCATAGAAACAGCAACTAACACTCGGTTAAAAACAGTGCTCATTACCAATGGAGTAAGCTACTATAAGCATGCCCAGGCTGTAAACAATCCAACTGGGGAATGGGATAAGTGTAAAACTGTAACAATGGGAAGAGGGCATGGGATAAAGTGCAAGGCTTCCCGTACCTTGGGAAGTCAGATCTGGCTATGGTGGTCCACTCTCTTGTCACATCCCGAATAGATTACTGCAACGCGTTCTACGTGGGGTTGCCTTTGAAGACTGTTCGGAAATTGCAATTAGTCCAATGGGCGGCAGGTAGATTACTCACTGGAGTGTCATACAGGGAGCATATCACCCCCTGCTGTGCCAGCTCCACTGGCTGCCGATCCAATTCCGAGTACAATTCAAAGTGCTGGTTTTGACCTATAAAACTCTATACGGCTCCGATCCAGCGTACCTGTCCGAACGTATCTCCTTCTATGTCCCACCTCAGAGCTTAAGATCATCTGGGGAGGGCCAGCTCTTGGCCGCACCTTTGTCTCAAACACGCTTGGCGGGGACGAGGGACAGAGCCTTCTTGGTGGTGCCCCCCCACCTGTGGAATTTGCTCTCCGGGGAAATTAGGTCATCGTCATCCCTCCTCACCTTTAGAAAAAAGGTTAAAACGTGGCTGTGGGACCAGGTCTTCAGGCAATTAGGTTAAAGGACAATTGACTATGGCATGGAAGAGGATTTGGATAAGTTAAGCAGAGTATTTATTTATTTATTTCGGTTGCTTCTACCCCGCCCTTCTCACCCCGGGGGGGGGGACTCAGGGCGGCTTACAAAAGCAAGGCACAATTCAATGCCCGCATCACATACAGCAAAAGACAATAACATCAATTAACAAAACAGCATTCTGGCAATAACAACAGTTAACAGAAAACAGTAATTAGTATAGGCAGAGACAATCATAAAACCAATAAAAGCAATAAAAACCAATACAAACCTCATTGACGGTCAGCGTTTCACAGTCTCATAGTTCAAAATTCCCATTCCACAATTGTCAGTCCTTTCGGTCCTATCTATCTGGCTGTCCATGTCTAATTGTCAGATTGCCCGAAGGCCTGGTCCCACAACCACATCTTTACCTTCCTCCTGAAGGAGAGGAGGGATGTTGATGCCCTAATTTCCCCCGGAAGTGAGTTCCACAGGTGAGGGGCCACCACTGAGAAGGCCCTGCTCCTCGTCCCCACCAGCCTCACTTGTGATAGCGGTGGGGTTGAGAGCAGGGCCTCCCCAGATGATCTCAAATTCCGGGGTGGGACGTAGAGGGAAATACGTTCGGACAGATACGCTGGACCGGAACCGTAAAGGGTTTTGTAGGTCAAAACCAGCACCTTGAATTGTGCTCGGAATTGAACCGGCAGCCAGTGGAGCTGACACAGCAGGGGAGTGGTATGCTCCCTGTATGTCGCTCCGGTAAGCAATCTGGCTGCCGCTCGCTGGACCAGTTGGAGTTTCTGAACAGTCTTCAAGGGCAACCCCACGTAGAGTGCGTTGCAGTAGTCTATACGGGATGTAACAAGAGTTGCAGTAGTCTATACGGGATGTAACAAGAGTAATCATTAGCAGATGGCTAGCTAAACAGCCCCCAGACGGCAATAGCTAACCAGAGTGTAAGTATACTGTTTTAATCTTTATTTATTAATGTTCATGTTTAATAGTTATATTTGTTATTCTGTATTTTATGATGCGGCATTGAATTATTGCCAATTGTAAGCCGCCCTGAGTCCTCCCAGGGGTTGAGAAGGGCGGGGTAAATATGTTCGAAATAAATAAATAAATAAGGCTGCATAACAATTGCGTAGGTCAACCAAGGACTAGGCGTTCTCAAAAGCTTGTTTAAACAGCCTCGCCTTCAGGTCCCTATGGAAGGAGGACAGTGTTGGGGCTTGCCTAATCTCCCTGGGGAGGGCATTCCAGAGCTGGGGGGCCACCACCGAGAAGGCCCTCTCCTTCATTCCCCACCAACCACGCTTGTGACAGTGGCAGGACCACGAGGAGGGCCTTCCCAGCACATCTTACAGCCTGCACTGGGGGGGATGCGGTCACGAAGATAGGCCAGACCCGAACCATTTAGGGCTTTGACGTGCACTTTGAATTGGGACCAAAAACTTATCAGCAGCCAATGGAGCTGCTTTAGTAGGGGCGTCATGTGCGCTCTATAACTACTTCCAGTAGTAGCCTGGCAGAACATTGGTTCATGTTTTAGGTTCGTAGTCCATCACTCAAACCATAGCACCACATGGCTCTTAAGCTATTGTTATCCATAATTACAGTTTGCATTTTAATTTCATTTAATATATTTTATGTTATTGCAGTTTCATCTGCTCCAAGGAATTGTAACCCACCCAAGACAACGTACAGTTTCTTCTCTCTGGTGTCAAGAATATAATTTCAACTTCAGAAGACAATAGATCTGTAACGATTTCAGACAAAGACCTACAAATGGAGATTGATATCAGGTATTTCATAGTGTTAGCTTTCTTATTGGCTCGTTTTCGTGTGTGTGTGTGTGTGTGTGTGTTGAATCTTGTTTGAGACAAAACCTTTTAAATTTAGATATTAGATTACTAACTTGAGGGTTGTTGTAGGTTTTCCAGGCTATATGGCCATATTCTAGAGGCATTTTCTCCTGACGTTTCGCCTGCATCTATGGCAAGCATCCTCAGAGGTAGTGAGGTCTGTTGGAAGTAGGAAAATGGGTTTATATATCTGTGGAATGACCAGGGTGGGACAAAGGACTTTTGTCTGCTGGAGCTAGGTGTGAATGTTTCAACTGACCACCTTGATTAGCATTTAATGGCTTGGAAGTGCCTGGGGGAATCTTTCTTTGAGAGGTGATTTGATGTGCCTGATTGTTTACTCTCTGTTGTTTTGCTGTTGTAATTTTTGAGTTTTTCAATACTGGTAGCCAGATTTTGTTCATTTTCATGGTTTCACACCTAGCTCCAGCACACAAAAGTTCTTTGTTGTTGTAGATTTTTCAGGCTATATGGTCATGTTCTAGAAGCATTCTCTCCTAACATTTCACCTGCATCCAGGGGCGGCTCAAGGCGGTACGCAAATTACGCTTTAGCGTAGAGCGCACATCTTGAGGAGCTCTTGAGAAGCTCTTGAGTCGCCCCTGCCCCGAACAACACCCAGAGGCAGCTCGCTCTCCCTCCCTCCTTCCCTCACAAGTGTGCATGCATGAGCGCGTTGTCTTCCTCTCCTCTCCTCCTCGCAGGCCAAGAGAGACAACGCCGGCGTGCATCCCTCTCCCGGCGTTAGGGAGTGCACAGGGAAGGAGGAGCAATGCAGGGTGCGCACTTCCTAACGCCGGGAGAGGGACGCGCACAGCATTGCCGGGCGCTCGGGAAAAGAGGCCTCATGCAGGGAGCATGCCTTCCTCGCCAGGCTGGGCTCCCAAGCCTGGTGCCCAGCCTGGTGAGGAAGGAGTACGGAGCAGCAGAGGGGGAAGCTGCCACCGCCAAGGCCCTCTTCGTGCCTCAAAGGAGTGTGTGTGTGTGTATATATATATATATATATATAAATGTTCAATGATTGGTTTGGGGGGGGGGCACCAAAATTCTGTTTGCTTACCCCTGAAAATTACCTGGGGCCGTTGCTGCCGGCATCTATGGCAAGCATCCCGAGAGGTTGCTTGCCATAGATGCAAGTGAAACGTCAGGAGAGAATACTTCTAGAACATGGTCATATAGCCCGAAAAACCTACAACTACCCAGTGATTCCAGCCATGAAAGTCTTCGGCAATACAATGTGCAGTTTGCCTGTGGACGCATCTATATTGGCCACTTTGGTCAGTGTGTATGTGGATTAGTTCCGCTAAAAAGCCAAAACACCTTTAGCTTCACATGAATGGAAAACATTCCAGCCCCTTGATCAGTTTAGACTGCTGTTCAGTGCTCATGTACCTGGAAGTAAATTACAACTTATCTCAGGGGTCCTCAAACTTTTTAAACAGAGGGCCAGGTCACAGTCCCTCAAACTGTTGGAGGGCCGGATTATAATTTGAAAAAAAAAAAGAATGAATTCCTGTGCACACTGCACATATCTTATTTGTAGTGCAAATAACACTTAAAAACAATACAAAAATTGAAATGAAGAACAATTTTAACAAATATAAACTTAATAATATTTCAATGGGAAGTGTGGGCCTCCTTTTGGATGATGAGATAGGATTGTTATTGTGTGCTTTCAAGTAGTTTCAGACAGGTTGACCCTGATGGAGGGCCGGATAAATGACCTTGGAGGGCCGTATCTGGCCCCAGGGCCTTAGTTTGAGGACCCCTGCTCTAGACCATGGCCATATAGCCCGAAAAAACCTACAACAACCCAGTGATTCTGGCCATGAAAGCCTTCGACAATGTAATGTTAGTTTGTGGAATTAACATAACTCAAAAACCACTGGACGAATTGACACCAAATTTAGACACAATACGCCTCTCAGGCCAACAAGTGACCATCACTCATAAAAACAGTGAATAACACAGCGGAAGAGTTTTAAAAAGCAGAGAGAAAACATTACAATGCATGCCTAAAACCACAAATATATACACAAATACACACACACACATATATATACATATATATAATTCCCACCTCGGAATTTGAGATCATCTGAGGAACCCCTGCTCTCGACTCCACCGCTATCACAAGTGAGGTTGGTGGGGACGAGGAGCAGGGCCTTCTCAGTGGTGGCCCCTCACCTGTGGAACTCACTTTCGGGGGAAATTAGGGCATCAACATCCCTCTCCTTCAGGAGGAGGGTAAAGATGTGGTTATGGGACCAGGTCTTTAGGCAATCCGACTCCTAGATAAGGGTAACCAGACAAATGGGACTAACAGGACTGACAACTGTGGAATTGGAAATTGAACTATGAGCTAGCGAACGTTGACCATCAATGAGGAAAAACTGGTTTGTATTGATTTTATTGGTTTTATTGGTTCTATGGTAGTAATGTAAGAAATGTTGTTTAATTGTTAATTGATGTTATTTTGTTTTACTATTGTTTGTGATACAGGCATCGAATTGTGCCTTGTTTTTGTAAGCTGCCCTGAGTCCCCTTTGGGGTGAGAAGGGCAGGGTAGAAGCAACTGAAATAAATAAATAAATAAATAAATAAATAAATAAATAAATAAATAAATACACACACATATATACACACACAAAATACCTATACACAGACTGGGCCACAGCAACACGTGGCAGGGGATGGCTAGCTTCTGAATAAATATATGTAGGATAATGATATTGGTTGCCTTTTTCTGAATGGGCTTCAACATATTGTATCCTTTTTCAGATTAGATAACTAGACCCCCTTCATTATTGTTTTTGTTCGGTCATTATCTCTTAAATCAGATTGCAATCTGTTGCCTATTTAGATGGTAATTTGTTTAGCATTGATACCACTATGTGATTTATCATCTTCCTATGTGTTCAATATCCATAGAGCTGTGACTCAGGTTGGCCGCCAGCTTGCATTAATTGGGGATGAGTATAACAGGGCCTGCACTGGCAAAATGGAAGATTCTCTTTTTCATCTCACAAAAAGGTAAGCACTGCCTGTGGGAAGCTTTAGTACTTCTTGTATATATAAATGCGCACTTCAAGAAATGCTTCTCTGTGAAAACAGAAAGGAAGGAAAGGGGAGGGAGATAAGGAAAGGGAAATCTCTGCGTCAATTAGAAAACAGCACAAGAAGCAGCAGGCTAGGATGGAATCTCATTCTAATACATTAAATTTCACTTCAATACTGCATGTTTGATTTTCCATTTTAATACAGTGGGCCCTTGCACGAAGGCAATTTTTGACCCAATTCCTTTTTTTTAAAATAATTTTTTTATTGCATTATATAAACATAAAATTTTTGCAGGGAAAGTGGGAGAACACTGTGGTGTAGGAAAGTAGGAAATTTCAAATTTAAAACAAACACAAAAATAACCTCTAAAAAGTAGGTGAAAAAGGAGAGAGGGAAAAAAAGAACGTTGTTGACTTCCAATCTGTGACTTCGCTTAGTTAATATTGTCCTTATTACGTTGTCTTCGTCTTACATTTTTCCAATTATTCCATAGCAACATTAATATCTACTATTCCTGGGTTGTTGTAGGTTTTCTGGGCCATATGACCATGTTCTAGAGGCATTTTCTTCAGACGTTTCGCATGCATCTATGGCAAGCATCCTCAGAGGTAGTGAGGTCTGTTGGAACTAGGAAAATGGGTTTATATATCTGTGGAATGACCAGGGTGGGACAAAGGACTCTTGTCTGCTGGAGCTAGGTGTGAATGTTTCACTGACCACCTTGATTAGCATTTAATGGCTTGGAAGTGCCTGGGGGAATCTTTTGTTGAGAGGTGATTTGATGGGCCTGATTGTTTACTCTCTGTTGTTTTGCTGTGGACCACTCTCACAACCACCATGTCAGACTACACAGAGAAGCCATTGAAATCCACAAGCATGTGGACAATTTCAACAGAAAGGAAGAACCATGAAAATGAACAAAATCTGGCTACCAGTATTAAAAAACTCTAAAATTACAACAGCAAAACAACAGAGAGTAAACAATCAGGCACATCAAATCACCTCTCAAAGAAAGATTCCCCCAGGCACTTCCAAGCCATTAAATGCTAATCAAGGTGGTCAGTTGAAACATTCACACCTAGCTCCAGCAGACAAAAGTCCTTTGTCCCACCCTGGTCTTTCTACAGATATATAAACCCATTTTCCTACTTCCAACAGACCTCACTACCTCTGAGGATGCTTGCCATAGATGCAGGCGAAACGTCAGGAGAAAATGCCTCTAGAACATGGCCATAGAGCCTGGAAAACCTACAACAACCCAGTGATTCCGGCCATGAAAGCCTTCGACAATACATCTACTATTCTGGTTGCATTGTCCATAAACCCATACCAAAGTCTAATCCACCGTTGGATCTTCTTACCCCTTTTCCTTCGAAAATTTTTCAAAAAGTGACCAGTCTGTCTCTCTTATTGGATTTCCTGAGCTCTTTATCAACAAAAAAGTTAATTTGTCCATATCTTTAATCTCTTGAATTTTATTAAACCATTCCTCTACCTCCGGTGTGTTGTCTATTTTCCAAAACTTCGCATATATTATTCTTGCGGCTGTTACAATATACGTAAATAATATGTCTTTATTTGAGTCTAAATTAATATCCGAATCTGTAATATTTAATAGGTAATAACCCGGTTTTCTAGGAAATGGGATTTATAATACCTTTTGCATCTCTATATATATTCCTCCAGTATTCTTGTGCTTTCTTGCATGTCCACCACATATGAAAAAAGCTACCTTCATCTTCCTGGCATTTCCAGCATTTATTATCCACATTCTTATACATTAAGCCTTTTTTTTTTTTTTTTTGGAGTCATATACCACCTGTGAGTCCAAAAAAAAAACAACAACAACAAAACGGCGCTCCATGCAGTCATGCCTGCCACATGACCTTGTCTATGGACAACGCTGGCTCTTCGGCTTCGAAATGGAGATGAGCACCACACCCCAGAGTCAGACATGACTGGACTTAATGTCAGGGGACTACCTTTACCTTACCACCTGTGAAACATCTTCAGCCAATTTTCTTTTAAATCCATCGCATAGGTATATTTAAATTTTTTTTGTTCCAAATTAATTCCCATTCTCTTAGATGAACTGGCCTCTTCAAATTTTGAGCCCATCTGATCAAACAATTTTTTATAGTTTCTGTTTCTGTCGCCCAGTCCAATAACTTGTTACAGATTTTGGTTATTAATTTTTTCTGAGTTTGTAAAATTTTATCCAATTGACCCAATTCCTGAAGAGTTTCTCCCTCATAAATAATCTGCTCCATCTCTATCTCACCCCATGTTTTTAGCTTTGGTATTTTATTCTGTACATGTGGCCCGCTCACTGTTACTGTGTTATGAATGATTTCATTGTAATTTTATATTGTTTGCTCTATTATTATGTTTTATGTAATTTATTATGTTGTTGTTTGTGTTTTGACTTCATTTTTGTATTGTGTTATTGGGCTTGGCCTCAAGTAAGCCGCCCCAAGTCCCCATCGGGGAAATGGTGGCAGGGTATAAATAAAGTTTGTTAATTATTATTAATGTCGAAGGCTTTCATGGCCGGAATCACTGGATTGTAGGTTTTTCCGGGTTATATGGCCATGTTCTAGAGGCATTTTCTCCTGACGTTTTGCCTGCATCTATGGCAAGCATCCTCAGAGGTAGTGAGGTCTGTTGGAACTAGGAAAATGGGTTTATATATCTGTGGAATGACCAGGGTGGGACAAAGGACTCTTGTCTGCTGGAGCTAGGTGTGAATGTTTCAGCTGACCACCTTGATTAGCATTTGATGGCTTGGCAGTGCCTGCGGGAATCTTTTGTTGAGGGGTGATTAGATGTGCCTGATTGTTTACTCTCTGTTGTTTTGCTGTTGTAATTTTAGAGCTTTTTAATACTGGTAGCCAGATTTTGTTCATTTTCATGGTTTCTTCCTTTCTGTTGAAATTGTCCACATGCTTGTGGATTTCAGCTTCTCTGTGTAGTCTGACATGGTGGTTGTTGGAGTGGTCCAGCATTTCTGTGTTCTCAAATAATATGCTGTGTCCAGGTTGGTTCATCAGGTGCTCTGCTATGGCTGACTTCTCTGGTTGAAGTAGTCTGCAGTGCCTTTCATGTTCCTTGATTCATGTCTGGGCAATGCTGCGTTTGGTGGTCCCTATGTAGACTTGTCCACAGCTGCATGGAATACAGTAGACTCCTGCAGATGTGAGAGGATCCCTCTTGTCCTTTGCTGAATGTAGCATTTGTTGGATTTTCTTGGCGGGTCTGTAGATAGTTTGTACATATGATTTGAGAACACAGAAATGCTGGACCACTCCAACAACCACCATGTCAGACTACACAGAGAAGCCATTGAAATCCACAAGCATGTGGACAATTTCAACAGAAAGGAGGAAACCATGAAAATGAACAAAATCTGGCTACCAGTATTAAAAAACTCTAAATTACAACAGCAAAACAGCAGAGAGGAAACAACCAGGCACATCTTAACACCTCTCAACAAAAGATTTTGCCAGGCTCAGCCAGGCCTTCAAATGCTAATTAAGGTGGTCAGCTGAAACATTCACACCTAGCTCCACCAGACAAGAGTCCTTTGTCCCACCCTGGTCATTCCACAGATATATAAACCCATTTTCCTACTTCCAACAGATCTCACTACCTCTGAGGATGCTTGCCATAGATGCAGGCGAAACGTCAGGAGAAAATGCCTCTAGAACATGGCCATATAACCCGGAAAAACCTACAACAACCCTATTATTAATTATTATTATTATTATTATTATTATTATTATTATTATTATTATTATTATTATTATTATTATTGGTATTCACTATGGTTTGGTACCAGGACCTCCTATGGATACCAAAATCCATCGTGATCAACTATACCATTCCATAGTACAAAAAACAAACAAAAACAATAATAAACCAAATATTTCTAAAATATTTCAATTATTTCGAAAAATATTATCAAGACGTAGATCAGGGGTCCTCAAACTAAGGCTCGGGTGCGGGATATGGCCCTCCAAGGTCATTTACCTGGCCCTTGCTCAGGGTCAACCTAAGACTGAAACTACTTGAAAGCACACAACAACAACAACAACAACAACAACAACAACAACAACAAAAACCCTGTTGCATCAGCCAAAAACAGGCCCACACTTCCCATTGAAATACTAATAAGTTTATATTTGTTAAAATTGTTCTTCATTTTAATTATTGTATTGTTTTTAAGTGTTTTTGCACTACAAATAAGATATGTGCAGTGTGCATAGGAATTCATTCTTTTTTTTTTCAAATTATAATCCGCCCTCCAACAGTTTGAAGGACTGACACCTGGCCCTTTGTTCAAAACGTTTGAGGACCCCTGCCATAGATGGTTAAATCCGTGGATACAGAATCCATGGATATAGAGAGTTAACTGTACAGTTTTTTTGTGGGTTGTATTACTAGATTTTTATCCACATCCTCTTGCAATTGAGATAACTTGTCAACCCTCACTGAAAAAAGTGCCTTCAGGAAAAAAAAGATTTAAATCATTAAATCCAAAGTCAGCTGCATAATGAAGAACAGGCCAACATGGGGAATTGATTCTTCTCCATATTTTACAATTGTTGATTTTAATTTGGTGGAAGACAATAAATGCTTAAATTCTTGTGGGTCTTTTCGGGCTATATGGCCATGTTCTAGAGGCATTTCTCCTGACGTTTCGCCTGCATCTATGGCAAGCATCCTCAGAGGTGAGGTCTGTTGGAACTGGGAAAAGGGTTTATATATCTGTGGAATGACCAGGGTGAGACAAAGGACTTTTGTCAGTTGGGCTAGGTGTGAATATTTCAACTGACCACCTTGATTAGCATACAATGGGCTGACTGTGCCTGGAGCAAACTCTTCTTGAAAGGTGATTAGATGTCCCTGCCTGTTTTTCTCTCTGCCGTTTTTGCTGTTGCAATTTTAGAATTTTTTAAATACTGGTAGCCAGATTTTGTTCATTTTCATGGTTTCTTCCTTTCTGTTGAAATTGTCCACATGTTTGTGTTTCAATGGCTTCTCTGTGTAGTCTGACATGGTGGTTGTGAGAGTGGTCCAGCATTTTTGTGTTCTCAAATAAAATGCTGTGTCCAGGTTGGTTCATCAGGTGCTCTGCTATGGCTGATTTCTCTGGTTGGAGTAGTCTGCAGTGCCTTTCATGTTCCTGGATTCTTGTTTGGGTGCTGCGTTTGGTGGTCCCTATGTAGACTTGTCCACAGCTGCATGGTATACGGTAGACTCCTGCAGAGGTGAGAGGATCCCTCTTGTCCTTTGCTGAACGTAGCATTTGTTGGATTTTCTTGGTGGGTTTGTAGATTGTTTGTAGATTGTGTTCTTCATCAGCTTCCCTATGCGGTCAGTGGGTCCCTTGATGTATGGTAAGAACACTTTTCCTCTGGGTGGATCTTCATCTTTACTCTCGTGGCTTGTTCTTGGTCTTGCAGCTCTTCTGATGTCTGAGGGGGAGTATCCATTGGCCTGGAGAGCCCAGTTGAGGTGGTTCAGTTCATCTTGGAGGAGGTGGGGTTCGCAGATTCTTTTTGCACGGTCTGCCAAGGCTTTAATGGTGCTTCTTTTTTGACTTGGGTGATGGTTGGAGTTTTTATGTAGATATCTGTGTGTGTGGGTTTTCTGTAGACGGTGTGACCCAATTGTTGATCTGGTTTGCGGATGACTAGGACATCTAGAAAAGGCAGTCTTCCTTCCTTTTCTTTTTCCATAGTGAACTGGATGTTTGGGTGGATGCTGTTAAGATGTTCCAGGAACCTGTTGAGTTCTTCTTCTCCATGGCTCCAAATGGTGAAAGTGTCATCCACATATCTGAACCATATAGTGGGCTTTTTGGTTGCTGTTTCAAGAGCTTGTTTTTCAAAGTGTTCCATGTAGAAGTTAGCTATGACTGGGCTGAGAGGGCTCCCCATAGCTACTCCATCTTTCTGTTCGTAGAATTCATTGTCCCACTGAAAGTAGCTGGTGGTGAGGCAATGGTGAAACAGAGCCGTGATGTCTTCTGGGAACCTCTGGTTGATGAGTGCCATGGTGTCTGCAACTGGGACCATGGTAAATAGAGACACCACATCGAAGCTGATCAGTTTGTCATTTGTATTTAGCTTGAGATTGCTGATTTTTTCAATGAAGTGGGCTGAGTCCTTGATGTAGTGTGTTGTGAGCCCAATGTGGCTTTGTAACTGTGCAGCAAGGAATTTTGCTAAGTCGTACGTGGGGGATCCAATGGCACTCACAACCCAACTGACAAAAGTCCTTTGTCTCACCCTGGTCATTCCACAGATATATAAACCCTTTTCCCAGTTACCAAACAGACCTCACCTCTGAGGAGGCTTGCCATAGATGCAGGCGAAACGTCAGGAGAAATGCCTCTAGAACATGGCCATATAGCCCGAAAAGACCCACAAGAACCTAGTGATTCTGGCCATGAAAGCCTTCGACAATACAATGAATGCTTGGTTTTTTGATGCAATAATACTCCATGTAGTTTTAAATCAAATTCTAATATATTAATTTATGCTATTTTTTTTCTTAATAGGGTAGCAGCCAATATTTTTCAGAGTTGTATTTGGAACAGCTTTAAAAGTGTTATGGAAAGTGTGGGGAGTTTCTTGAAAAGTGGCTGGAAAAAGACCAACCATACTTCGGTAAATTTATTTTGCTCTGTATAACGTTCTGGTTGCAGAATGGGAGTAGAAATAAATGTAGCAAAAAGAAATCTGAGACTTATGATACAAAATCGTAGCTATGTAAATTAATGCATATTGTGTTTAGAGAGCCTAGTCTCAAATTATATGCACTCTATTGTACAAAATCTCCGGCTCTTACCTTTGCACCATCTTGCATTCTGAACTAACTCAATGTTAGGGCATTACTATTTACAGTATGACCCCTGTATCCATGGGGGATGCATTCATGCACATACAGTGGAAGCAGGAAATTGTGGATAAAGGCAGTCCCTATGTTATGAACAAGATAGTTTCTGTAAGTTTGTTCTGAAGTTGAATTTGTAAGTCAAAACAGGTACATTTTTAATTGTAAGTTCAGACACACACACACATGCTTTGGATAGCACGGGGAAGGTTCAACACTCCTATTATGTTTGTTTTGCTGTCTGTGCATTTCAAAGATTTCAGGAGTGAATTTCCCTTCCGTGGGGCAGATTTTTCTCCCTTCCTGTTCTCAACCCTGTTTGTAACTATGAGTAGTTTGTAAGTTGGATGTTTGTAACTCAGGGACTGCCTGTAATAGTAAACCCTACTGAAATAAATGACATCTGTTGGATGTTATCAAAGTTGCCTTTGAAGATCTAGATCAGTGGATCTCAACCTTCCTAATGCCACGACCCCTTAGTACAGGTCCTCATGTTGTAGTGACCCCCAACCAAAAAATTATTTTCGTTGCTACTTCATAACTGTAATTTTGCTACTGTTATGAATCGTCATGTAAATATCTGATATGCAGTATGTGCTGGTACAGCTGTACCAGAAGCTCCCACTTTATTTGCCTTGTATTAAGTGTTTGCTTGCAACCCAAGGCTTGGGATTCAGCAGAAGGGTGGCTTCCTGTTAAAGTTTGCAGTTATAGGGCAGGCCCCCTGTCCATCATCGTTAAGTTTGGTTCCGCCCCCTGTTCAGGACAATTGAGAAGGGAAGGGAGCCATTTTCATTCAGTCTCAGCAAAGAAAGTCAATGTACAGGGCATGTACAGACCTCTCCTGTACAAAGGCTTCAACCCTTAAGACTTCCCAGGGGAGAACAGTCTTAAGAGCAAAAGGATTCCCAAAGATTCCCTGAGATACAGCCCTAAAGCTCTGAGGAATTTCGGAGGGAAAAACAGCTTTGAATATCTAAGAACTCCAGCTGAAGTGACTACAGGCCTACTGGTAGATCCACTCGGTGCTTTGAGACGCAGTTCAACCCGGTAGTGGCGCCCACATCAGTTAGGTTTAGGTTCACAGTTAGCCTGGGAGAAGTTTGGAAAGGGATTTTCCTTTAGAGTAAAAGTAACAGTTAGAAGCCACCAGTTGCACAAAAGCCTGGAAGCATTTGTTTAACCTTTTGAAGACAAAAGATGTTTCTGTTGATTGTTCTCCAATAAAAGACTTTGTTATATTTCACAAGCCCTCCAAAGACTGTTTATGGTGAAAATTCTTAAGAATTTTTCTTTGGGCCCCCTGGCTTCCCGCTGGGCTAAAGTAGCACGTCCTGTTTTAAAAGCAATTCATTTCAAGCCCCCGCGCGACAGAACACAGGATGTATTTTCATTCATTGTCCTAAATTTGGCACAAATACCTGATATGCTCAAATTTGAATACTGGGGGGAGGGTTTATTTTGTTATTTGGGAGTTGTAGTTGCTGGGATTTATAGTTAACCTACAATCAGTGAGCATTCTGAACTTTGCCAATGATGGAATTGAACCAAACTTGGCACACAGAACTCCCATGACAAACAGAAAATACTGGAAGGGTTTGGTGTACATTGACCTTGAGTTTTGGAGTTGTAGTTCTCCTACATCCAGAGAGCAAGGTAGATTCAAGCATTGACGGATCTGGGCCAAACTTGGCACGAATAATACACAATATACCCAAATGTGAACATTGGTGGAGCTTGGGGAAAATAGACATTGACATTTTGGAGTTGTAGTTGCTGGGATTTATAGTTCACCTACAATCAAATACCCAACTCCCAAATGACAAAATCATAATTTTTTGAGTGATGGTCACTTCTTGTGTTGTGAGACATTTTGTTGCCAAATTTGGTGTGATTTCATTCATTGGTTCTTTTGTTTTTAAGGTACTCATTATGCACAGAGCATTTATATATAGATAGATCATGGGGCAAATATAGAAAATGTTTAGAGGACATATTTTGTCACTTTTAATGATGTTAATCCTATTCTTTATTCTTTCTCTGAACAGATTATTTGGGTTCCTCTCAAGCATGTGTGCCAGAAATGGGCGCCAGCCACCCTGTTTGCTGTTTTGATGTGGTGGCTGATCACTTTTGAACCTCAGAACTAATGTGAAGTTGCCATTGAAGGTCATTGCTGGACTCTGACCAATATATATCTCACCCAGGAGGTGGAATTTGCTTTGTGTGTTTGTTTTTTTAAAGTTATCTATGAAACCCCTTTTTTCTATTTAAACTGTAGGGTAGTGCTGGGTCACTGCTGTTTTCATACTTTTAAATATATACACATATATATATTAATCCTAGGTTGTTGCTGGGTAACTACCGGAATTGCTTGTTTTTAAATATGTATTTTCAGGTGATTCATGTCTGTCTTTTCTTAATAAGATGTCCACTTTGTGTTGTTTTATACGAGGGAAGATTTTTGAAAGACGACAGAAGGAATGCTGGCCATCCTTTTAAAATATTTGAATATGTCATAGAAATGAAAATCTTAAGGCTTGAATAAAATTAACATTTATGACATAATTATTTTTAGACCTGCATTTTTGTGTATTTGATCTCCCATGCACATATCTAAATCTAACTACCTCCAGGGCTGTTCCAGTGTCAAACAGGGATGTGTTATTGCCCCAACTTTATTCTCCATCTTCATCGCTATGATACTTCACCTTGTTAAAAGGAAGCTTCCCACTGGAGTGGAAATCATCTATCGGACAGATGGAAAGCTATTCAACCTCAGCAGACTGAAAGCCAAAACCAAGGTTACAACAACATCTGTTATAGAACTCCAGTATGCTGATGACAACGTTGTCTGTGTGCATTCAGAAGAAGATCTACAAGCCACTCTCAACACCTTCGCAGAAGCATACGAGAAGCTCGGCCTGTCATTGAACATTGAAAAAACCAAGGTGCTTTTCCAGCAGTCACCAGCCAACCCCTCTCCAATTCCAGTGATACAGCTTAATGGTGTAATATTAGAAAATGTTGACCATTTCGCTACCTTGGCAGCCACCTCCCACCAAAGTCAACATCGACACCGAAATACAACACCACCTGAGCTCTGCAAGTGCAGCATTTTTCCAAATGAAGCAGAGAGTGTTTTAGGACCGGAACATCCGTAGGGAGACCAAGGTGCTTGTTTATAGAGCTATTGTCACCCCAACCCTGCTATATGCCTGCCAAACGTGGACTGTCTACAGACATCACATGCAACTCCTGGAACGATTCCATCAGCGCTGCCTCCAGAAAATCCTGCAAATCTCTTGGGAAGACAGGTGGACAAACATCAGCATGCTGGAAGAAGCAAAGACCACCAGCATTGAAGCGATGGTCCTTCGCCATCAACTCTGCTGGACCGGCCACATTGTCCGGATGCCTGACCACCATCTCCCAAAGCAGTTGCTCTACTCTGAACTCAAGAATGGAATATGAAATGTTGGTTGACAGGAAAAGAGATTTAAAGATGGGCTCAAAGCCAACCTTAAAAACTCTGGCATAGACACTGAGAACTGGGAAGTCCTGGCCCTTGAGAGCTCCAGCTGGAGGTCAGCTGTGACCAGCAGTGCTGCAGAATTCGAGGAGGCACGAGTGGAGGGTGAAAGAGAGAATGCCAGGAGGAAGGCGCGTCAAGCCAACCCCGACCGGGACCGCCTTCCACCTGGAAACCAATGCCTCACTGCGGAAGAAGATGCAGAGCAAGAATAGGGCTCCACAGCCACATGCGGACCCACAAGGAAACCCATAATGGAAGACCATCATACTCGTCCAACGAGGGATCGCCTAAGTAAGTAAGTAAGTACCTCCAGGGCTCAATTACTATTTTGTTACTTATCGGCATGATTCCTGCCAAAATCTTCAGTTTCTTTTCTTCTGCCACAGAAGCAGCATCCAGTAGGTGTCTTTTGGATGTTCTTTCACAGACTATCAGTTTGACCTGGTTTTCAGTATATTCTCTGTATCTTGATTACAGAGAGGTCATCCGGAGTTTTGGAGTTGAGTGCCATCTCTATGCAGATGACACACAACTCTACTACTCTTTTCCACCGAATTCCAAGGAAGCCCCTCGAGTGCTGGACAAGTCCCTGACTGCTGTGGCTGTCTGGATGAGGACGAACAAGCTGAAGATTAATCCCAACAAGACAGAGGTCCTCCTGGTCAATCGTAAACCAGGGTGGCAACCTGTGCTGGACGGGGTTGCACTCCCCCTGAAGTCACAGGTCCGCAGTTTGGGGGTCTTCCTGGATTCTTACCTTTGAGGCTCAGGCGTCGGTGGTGGACGGGAAGGCCTTTGCACAATTAAGACTCGTGCGCCAACTGCGACCATACCTCGGGAAGACGGATCTGGCCAAGGTGGTCCACGCCTTAGTCACCTCTAGACTGGATTACTGCAATGCACTCTACGTGGGGCTGCCCTTGAAAACGGCCCGGAAATTTCAGATGATCCAACGGGCGGCAGCCAGGTTGTTAACTGGGGCTCCTTACAGGGAGCGGTCAACCCTCCTGTTCAAGGAGCTCCACTGGTTGCCATTCATTTACCGGACCCAATTCAAGGTGCAGGTTCTTACCTACAAAGCCCTGAATGGTTTGGGACCCACCTATCTGCGTGACCGCATCTCTGTGTATGAACCCACACGATCTCTTCGTTCATCTGGAGAGGCACTCCTCTCGATCCCGCCAGCATCGCAGGCGCGATTGGTGGGGACGAGAGAGAGGGCCTTTTCGGTGGTGGCCCCTCGACTCCGGAACTCACTCCCTAAGGACATCAGGCAGGCCCCAATCCTGGCAGTTTTTAGGAGGAGCTTGAAGACGTGGTTGATCCAGTGTGCCTTCCTGGATTAACGATCCCAGAGCACTTTGTCCCTCTAAAGCACTTTACATTTTTTAGGTCTGTTTATATGTCTTTCCACAAATGCCACTATCACCTTTTCGTCCATGTTCAGCACTATTTCCAATTTTAATTTTACATTTGGCCTTCCCATAATTTTAATTGGATGTTGTCTTATTGATAATGTTATATGTTAATGTTTTATTTTAATTGCTTGTATTGTTGTGATTATTGCTTGTATTGTTGTGTTCGGTCTCGGCCTCATGTAAGCCGCACCGAGTCCCTTGGGGAGATGGTAGCGGGGTACAAATAAAGTATTATTATTATTATTATTATTATTATTATTATTATTATTATCAAACTGTCTTCATGGCTAGATCTGTCCTGTATGTGGGTTTCTACACTTGACGCTGTGTGCTGGAGCTTTATGATTTGATGGCCGTTTCCTCATTTTTTTCCAAACACACTGTCTCCTTTGGGACCCGCCTACCTTTGTGACCGTATCTCCCTCCATGAACCAGCCCGGGCCCTCCGATCTTCTGGAGAGGCCCTCCTTTCGCCTTTGCCAGTTTCACAAGCTCGCCTTGTGGGCACAAGGGTGAGAGCTTTCTCCTCTGTGGCCCCCAACTCTGGAACTCATTACCCGGAGAGATCAGAAAAGCTCCTACCCTAGAAACCTTTAAAAAGAACCTTAAAACCTGGCTCTTCTGCCGTGCCTTTTGTGAGTAGGTACACAACCTCACACTATTGCTCAGCTGCAACATTTTTGTCATTGGAATACACGTCCCCCCCTCCCATGGGAAAGCTTGGTTCCTCAATCCCTGTTTTAATGAGCTCCCCTCCGCAAATAACCTGCTTCTCCTTCTATCTCACACGAGTTTTTAAATCAGTTTTTTAATCATTTTATTCTGCAAATGTGGCCCACCTATTGTCACTGTGATTGTGTTTATTGTTCTCATATTATTAATATATTCATATGTTTTATGTAATTATGAGGTTGCTATTTGTTGCCTGTGTTTTTGGTTTCATTTTGCTGTAATTTGTTGTTTGGGCCTGGCCTCATGTAAGTCGCCTCGAGTCCCCGTTGGGGGACATGGTGGCGGGGTATAAATAAAGATTATTATTATTATTATTATTATTATTATTATTATTATTATTATTATTATTTGAAACACAACAAGATGAGTCCACAGCAGACACTCTGCTGGCTGTTGAATTGGATCACACGTCGGACACTTCCAAGTGTCTAGGACTATGTGATGTATTGGCGAATAATGCGAGCAGATCCCAGTAAGGTGGCCTTCTGCGGCTGGCAGATGGTAATCTTGTCAGTGCCAGTTGTGTTTAAGTGCAGGCCAAGGTCTTTAGGCACTGCACCCAGTGTGCCGATCACCACTGGGACCACCTTGACTGGCTTGTGCCAGAGTCTTTGCAGTTCAATTTTTAAATCCTCATATCATGTCACCTTTTCAAGTTGTTTCTCTGCAATCCTGCTGTCACCTGGGATTGCGACATCGACAATTCATACTTTGTTTTTTAACACGATTATGAGGTCAGGAGTATTATGCTCAAAAACTCTGTCTGTCTGAATCCGGAAGTCCCAGAGGAGTTTGGTGTGTTCATTCTCTGTAACAACAACCACCATGTCAGGCTACACAGAGAAGCCATTGAAATCCACAAGCATGTGGACAATTTCAACAGAAAGGAAGAGACCATGAAAATGAACAAAATCTGGCTACCAGTATTAAAAAACTCTAAAATTACAACAGCAAAACAGCAGGGAGGAAACAACCAGGCACATCTTAACACCTCTCAACAAAAGGTTTTCCCAGGCTCAGGCAGGCCTTCAAATGCTAATGAAGGTGGTCAGCTGAAACATTCACACCTAGCTCCAGCAGAGAAGAGCTCTCTGCCCCACCCCAGCCATTCTACAGATATATAAACCCATTGTCCTATTTCCAACAGACCTCATTACCTCTGAGGATGCTTGCCATAGATGCAGGCGAAACGTCAGGAGAAATGCCTCTAGAACATGGCCCTATAGCCCGAAAAAACCCACAAGAACCTAGTAATCGCTAGAAGTGCTGGTATTACAGGTATACATGCTCTTTTTATTCTGTCATGTACCTCTTTCCAAGGTTTACATGGATATATACTGGAATTTGCATCCCAAAAACATTTGGGTTCATAAAGTGAGAGAGCTGAATGCGGTATGACGGTGTTATTGTACCTTTGTGTAAACACTCATTTCCTATGTTTAACTGCTGCCTCTAGTCAAACAGGTTTTACATGTTATTTGGAATGGTATTTAAAGAAACCTGTGTGTCCAGTTTCCCAAATCTACACTGAAAAACTGTGTACTGGGGTGGGGATTACTGGTGAAGGGTGTTAGGCTCTGTTGCAGCATAACCATACGCAAACATACAACCAGTGTGCTCTCCATACAAGTTGTATGCTTATGCAGGGTAAGCGTTTCAACCTGTCCTTCTGTTTCACGGGTTAGTTCACCATGTGTGGGTGTTTTCTGTGAAGAGAAAGCATACAACCAAAATATCCCCACACACATACATAACATGTGATTTAGTCCAGGAGGGAAATAGCCATCTGATTCGAAAGCCCATATAAACTGACTCCATGAAATAGACATTCATATATCTATATATATATAAATGCTCTGTGCATAATGAGTACCTTAAAAACA